TATATATATATATATATATTACATTTAAATAAATAAATAAAAAAAAAACAGACAACCTCAAGGGGCCATTGGTTATATTATTTCCTAGGTATATGGTTTTTACCTGGTTCATCAGACCGCACTTCCAAAAGTGAAAAAATGTTTTAAATTTACATATAGTTTTTATAGACTTTTGAGGGGTAGTTTTAAGTTGATGTAAGGTGATATATAGAGAGGGGGAGTAGGAGTAGGACATACTTACCCTTTCCACCCACCCCTTACCCATTAATGTCTTAATAAAAATAGATTTAAAATTATTCCTATCTCTCCCTTCCTCTCTAATTTAGACCATGTCTCTCCCACTTCTTTTCGAAAGGCTTGTGAGCCCAGTCCACAGTGCTATTAAATATTTAGTTTTATTGGGCAAGAGATGGATTCAATGGTTTGAAGTGAAGAAGATGGATTCCGGTCGCCGATTCCATTTTCTGAGGATATAACCATTATGAAACCAACACGCGTTATTTATACGGACCGTGGCAAGTGAAGAAGGAAAAACAAAGTTTAAAACTAATACAATATATAAATACGGTTATTATGGAATTACACCAATAAGCATTATTGAGAATGCCAGTGTTATTAAAATGTTTGATATTTACAAAAGTATAATATTCTGTGTTTCGTCACGTGTCGTCAGGAAGGTTTTCATTGGTTCTCGGATTACTAACTCTTCGCAAAGATCATCAGGGTTTTTGAAGCCTTCCAATACAATAGGTACAGTTTCGTTATATATAATCTACAGTTTATTCACTTCTTTGACGTTTTTAGATATTTCTTATTCACAATCTACAATATCTTCACATCGTATGAAGTAATAATGGCAAATATTTATTCACAGCTATTTGCAATAACCGAATGTTGCTTTCTAACTGCGGTCATTTAGTCTGGCGGACAAATGGGCTAAAAGAGTAACTTTTGTGTATATGCCCTTAAATAGGGGTCATAAAATCTGATGTAGAAGAGGAAACTTACAGGTTGAAGTTTTTCAGCTGATAGATACCAATCTCCCTTAGGGAACTTCCTTCCAGCCCCACGCTTTCCAGTCAATAGCTATTTTCTTTTGGTCTCACTCCTTAGTAATTTTCCTTTTTCTAATTCTTTCATGTCCTGCGTGTCTTAGTAGATTTATTGTCTTACTTGGGGTGAACCCGATTTAAAAAAAAATAATCTAAAGTATAATTTTAAACGATAATGTTCGAAAGGGAAAGTGTCACTGAATTTATGTTTTAATATTTTCAAGTTTTTATCAGTAAGCAAGAAAATACGAACATCTGCAACAACTACAGTGGATATCGCATGAAAATAGAAAAGAAAATAATGACATAATCTAGATGTTGACATTACACACGACTTAAAATAAAGGGTTTAGAGAGGAAACACCCGTCAATACTGGAAACATCGATAACAGCTACCCGACTTGAAAAACGCTTATATGTATATATATAAAGAAATGGACAAAGTCCAACAATTTATTTATTAAAGACATTTTTATGTTTAACGTTCTTTTTTATAGATACAAGTATTTAAGTAAATGCTCTGTTTATAATAAACAGTATTAAATAACATTTACCGGCCTGAATGTCCGAAACCGTTTTTAAGGCAAATATTCGTCCTTTGACGGTTTCGTACCTGCATTCGAATACGTCACCGGACGAATATTTTCTTGAAAATTTTCGACATTCAGGCCGGTAAATGTTATTTAATACTGTTTATTATAAACAGAGCATTTACTTAAATACTTGTATCTATAAAAAGAACGTTAAACATAAAAATATCTTTAATATATATATATATATATATATATATATATATATATATATATATATAATATATATATGTGTGTGTGTGTGTGTGTGTGTGTGTAACGAATGCTCGGCCGCAATTTTTTCGACGTATTTGCACCCAAATTTACATGCACATGCTCCAAGTTAGTAGGAAGGCCAAGACCGAGATTGCATTTCCCAACTCCCATCGATAGTGGAAATAATCGATTTTCATGCTTCTACGGCAGTTTTCATGTAGTTTGCGGCCATTTTCTACTGGCCAGAGTGAGAGCCGATAGCTGGCTGCCACGAATAGGCAGGAAGATTCTATTGCCCAGCGTGAGAGCCAACAGCTGATTGACACGAATGTTAACTAGCATACTAGCATGCAAAAAAAAAACATCAATAGCTGCATTCGTCACAAGTGGGAAAAATTTAAATCTGCATGGCACTTTACTCCAATTGGATCATTCGCTTGCTTAAACTCAACGTTGATTCTGATTCCGCAGAACTGGGTTGGGTGTGAAAAAGTATTTGTTGTTAACATTCTTTTTTCATTCGATTTTTCCAGTTACGAGTCCTTTTTTTTTAAAGCTGATCGTTTTGTGTTCATTTTGTTTAGTTCTTTTTTCGTAACAGATTTAATGTTTAGTATAAAGCGTAGAAAAATACGCAGTGTGAGATAGGCAAGAAGTAAGCAACATCATCACGGCAAAGAGCACTCCTTTAAAGGCAAGGAAGGGCAAAATATTTTAAGTCAAGTGATAGCGATTGCTGTATGAGTCGTACGATTTTTGAATCAAGCACGGGCAACGCCGGGCCATGCTACTAATAATATATATATATATATATATATATATATATATATATATATATATATAGTTTCAGTTAAAGATTTTATAAATTTCAACGGACTGCAATAGGGGTTGTTTGTTCAATGAATACCAAAAGTTTCCTTATAAGGAAACAGTAAATATGACAATTAAGCAAAATACCCGTAGTATTTGGAAAATAAAATGGCGTCGGTTTAACCTAACTCCACGAAGTTATAGGTTTAAAAAGCAGGAGCTCTTCGTTTTAGCAATGGCTTACAATTTCAAGCGAAGTGCCAAAATAATAGTAAGAATTTATAATGAGTAAAGTTGGCCTTCTTGGTTCCGTATTGATATATTCATTCAAACAAATACTTTGAATAAAACTCTGCTATTATAAAGATTGGTTCATATAAAGATACCAGCAAAATATGCATAGCAGATGGTAACATTACTAATGATAAAAGGTCAGAGTGTATCTGCCCAGTCGCGTTGCATTTAGAGAGTGGAGTGATAAAGGGCATACGACCGTTCATTTCCGTTTAATGACAAGGTAATTTGAATTCCGCTGGGATCAGCCTCAGGCCTATCAATGATGAAGAATTGAACAGATAGCAGGTATCAAAATGGAGTTAGAAAGAGAAAAGTTTCAAGAATCAATTAATCGAGAGGCAAATAAAGAGAGAGTGAAGAAAGAAACTAGAAAACAGTCGTTAAATAGATTAGAGATAAACAGAGAGAAGAGGGAAAGTGAAAAGTTTCAGAATAAATTTATCGAGAAGGAAGACAAAGATGGCAGGAAGAGTCGCTAAATAAAGAGGGGTATGACTGATAAACTAAAGAAACAGAGAGAAAAAAGCAAAGTGAAACATTTTAAACGAAACGACCCCAACCAACGAAAAAAAAATGTCTGTCATCAAAAGTACTTATCAATTAAAAAGAATACCAAATATGTGTGTGTGTGTATACATCAAAATATAGATTTAATATCGATATTGCAACAGTAGATTGTGAATTGTGAATAGTGCAATATGAACTTAAGTGGGAATTTTTTTGACGTTTTAGCTCCCAGATACACGAATTATTTAAACTTATCTTCATCTTAGCTTTTTATAACTACGTCTTGACCGACATGTCTTTTCAAAGTCAAGTTATATTTGGTTGCCATAGAAACAATTCACAAGTCTGAACTGACGACGAGAGAAAATTTTGATTGTACATATGACAGCATAAAACGAAATTTTATGTGATTTAACGACACCTAAGAAATAGATACTAAATAATAATTGAATTCTACACATTTTATTTTTATACTGTTTTTATAAACATTATTATTTCTTTTTTATATACATTTTTATATCCATTTTATTTTTATATCTCGATTTCACTTTCTTAAATTGACCTCACGCTATAAACTATTGACCATCACAATCAAAGAAGAGTGAAGTGGTTTGTTAGAAAAAATAAATTTACTATTTTAGTATAAATTACCTCCTCTTTTAAAATACTTCTCAGATATTTAAATTGGTGTACTTGTTTGCTTTTGGTATCTCCAATTTGTAATTTGCATATTGGACAAACAACCATGCATTCTGTCATCTTGCAATTGATATTTAATCCTTTCTTCTTTCTTTCCTTCACTACCTTCTGTAGAAGTTTTTGTAGTATTCTTTCTGTGTCTGCTATTAACACTGTGTCATCTGCATATCTAATGGTAAGATTGTAGCTGCCAATAATAAATACTGATAGGACTTGTATTTCTCTTAGAATCGCCTCACTGTATAGGTTGAATAAGTTCGGTGAAAAGGCACATCGTTGTCCTATATCCCTTTATTGTTGATTCCTATGAGTATAGATTCTTGATTATCATAAATATTTCCAACTTACCTAGTAGTTTCTCATCAGTATCGAAAATGGAAAAAAAGGGTAAATTTAAATGGAGTTGCACAGCAATAAATTACACTTATTTTAAATAAAGAACTGTTGTTCTTTTTCCCTTTATTAAATAAAAAATACAGATAATAGGAAGAACGAAGTTGAGAAATACTTGCCGTTTTGTCTATGGAACAAATTATATCTGTTTTTTTTTTTTAACAGAGAGGTTATTGTGTGGAGGCAAAATCCGGTCTTTTCCTACGTTAGTGCTTGGCAAGATTCACAACAATTGTTATGGCAATATTTGCATTTTGCCTCAAGTGAGAACTAATCTCCAAATGTTCTCATCGCCACCGTCTGCTGCGCCAGTTTATGAAAGCTATTCAAGATGTGCTGACGGAGCGTTAATCAATATATTTGAAAAATCATGCAAAACAGTTCACAACCCGATTCACATTTCTCAAACGTCCACAGCATTGTCACTCCCCTAACTAATTGCTATATAACAAAACAATCAGAAAAGGAGGAAAAGAGAGTAAGAGGGTGAAAGGAGGAAAAGAGAGCGAGAGGGTGAAAGGAGGAAAAGAAAGCGGGAGGGTGAAAGGAGGAAAAGAAAGCGGGAGGGTGAAAGGAGGAAAAGAGAGCGAGAGGGTGAAAGGAGGAAAAGAAAGCGGGAGGGTGAAAGGAGGAAAAGAAAGGGGAGGGTGAAAGGAGGAAAAGAGAGAGAGAGGGTGAAAGGAGGAAAAGAGAGCAAGGAGAGGGTGAAAGGAGGAAAAAGAGAGCGAGAGGGTGAAAGGAGGAAAAAGAGAGCGAGAGGGTGAAAGGAGGAAAAGAAAAGGGAGGGTGAAAAGAGGAAAAGAGAGCGGGAGGGTGAAAGGAGGGAAAAGAAAGGGAGGGGTGAAGGAGGAAAAGAGAGCGAGAGGGTGAAAGGAGGAAAAGAGAGCGAGAGGGTGAAAGGAGGAAAAGAGAGCGGGAGGGTGAAAGGAGGAAAAGAAAAGAAAGGGGAGGGCGATAGGAGGAGAAGAAAGAAAGAGGGGGGGGATAGGAGGAGAAGAAAAAAAAGGGGGATAGGAGAAGAAAAAAAAGAGGGAGGGGGATAGAAAAAAAAAAGAGGGAGGGGATAGAAAAAAAGAAAGAGGAGGGGGATAGGATAGAAAAAAGAAAGAGGGGGGGATAGAAGAAAAAAGAAAGAGGAGGGGATAGAAGAAAAGAAAGAGGAGGGGATAGAAGAAAAGAAAGAGGGAGGGGGATAGGAGAAGAAAAGAAAGAGTAAGGGCGAAAGGAAGAAAAGAAAGCGAGAGGGCGATAGGAAGAGAAAAAAGAGCAAGAGAGGGCGATAGAAGAAGAAAAGAAAGAGGGAGGGTGAAAGAAAGTCAGATCCAGACCGGAGTGGACAGGTAAATAGAAAAATAAACTAGAAATTTATTTATAAAAAGTAAGCAAAAGCAACAAGAAGAGTTTTGAAACACATTTCGGCAATCAAATATAATACTTCTGCGCTAAATAAATGCGTGAGATACCTTCATTGAATTTGCGAATGTTAAATATATCCATTCACTGGATAAGCTATACAAAACAAAAGAGACAATGGCATCGACATGTAGTTTAAAATACTCAAAATCAGAACAAGTTTTATAGTTTGAGGACACATGTTTTTTTACTTTTCGGAAAATCGTTTAGGAAATTTTGAGAGAAAAAAAAAAAAAAATTCTATTACAAGCACAGAGATGCCAACACGGTTTTAATATTGTCTTTTCTACTTTACTGCGTATCATCCGTATAAAAATGATATTAAAATATCGTAAGTAGTACTGCTTAGCCTTTTATAGGGGATTTTTCTTAATTAAAAAAATACATAAAATCTGAAAATCATTACATATACAATGGCATGCAAATGTTCTAGGATAACTGTATATATACATCTTTATTTTATTAAGCTAAGATTGCTTAGCAGTATGCTTTTATCAGTAATGACTAAGGACCAAGAGGTTTGGAAAATAATTTGTTGCATTTTCATAGGTAGCGTTTAAAACAAAAATTAGCAGTTTGCAGATGAAAACGTGCAAAAGTACTGGCCCAATGCAAGAACCGAGATAATAATATGATAATACGCATATTTCCAAATAGGAATTATTCTATCTTATTAAAATAAGTGTAAGGGCCCTTGACAAGTGATAGCAGTTGAACATTACCTTGAATTTATACAGTGAAATTGTGTATAACATTTCTACTGAAACAATAATGAAAACTTGGAATTTGAAGTGGAAATGACTCAATGATAGATAGCCAGGCAGCTACAAATTTCTAGAAAGTGTGTTCAAAGCATCCAAAACAAATCTACTACAGTAAGTGTCTTGAAGTGCTGAAGAAACTGGACGTTCGTAAACGTTAGTCAAGAGAAAGGAAATACAGATTGTTGGAGTCTTGGTGAACAATCTAAACTTAACCAAACAAAAGAAGGAGTGAATGCGCTTTTGACACTGAGGCTTCAGTTGATACGATACGCGGAATATTACGAGAAAAATAACATGAACGTGCGTGTATTGCACCAAAAACAAAAATGAACCAAAAGCAACGGAATAGAACATTGAAATGGTCAAAAGAACATCTGACATAAGATGCTAGGTAGTGGCAGAAAGTAATTTTTGAATGCAAAATAGAATTACTTTCTAATATAAGGAAATATGTAAGAAGACCAAAGAGAGAAAGAAACAATGCAATATACATCACAAAGATGGTAAAATTTTGTGGTGGACACGCAATGGTGTGGAGTTCCAACAAAAGAGATGATAGAAAAAAAATTGGTAAAAGTTGATGAAAACTAAAACAGCGGTCAAATCTGCCAAACTACAAAGACGGAAATATTTTGAGCATGACAGTGCTCCTTGTCAAACGTAACAAGCAACAAAAATGTTTTTTTTTGAGTGAAGATGTTCAATTTTTGGATAACTGGACAGCACACAGTCCTGATCTCAAAATAATTGAACCATTGTAGTGGGGAATGAAGGAACAATTGCTCCAATGAAAACTACAAAAATCTCAAAGAGAGTTTGAATTAATACCAAAAAGAAATTGGTGGGGGGATCCCATTGAAAGAATATGTACTCTGTTTCATTCAATGCCGCATCGAATTGAGCGAAAGACAGAATCATTAATAACGCACTCTATACATTCATTTTTATGTACTTAATGTAATCGCTTTGCATAAATAAAATTTCCTTTTTAACTTAAAAGTGATGAATGGTGATTTTTTTTTTTTTGCATGGCCTGTTTCAACATCACTATGCTTAATGTCATCAACTATAGTGTATTAACAAAAATGCGGCCCTCAAAGATTTTAAAATATACCGAGAAATGCATACTGCTTATCACTCGATTTGTGGGTAAAATTAAGAAAATAATTAACTTACTAAGGAGATCCAAAATATCCGAGTTACATATATATATATCGAGAACTGTTTTTTAAAAATAATAACAAATAATAACAAAAATACTAAAGAACTTTGGATTATTTACCTAACGAGTTCTTTCCTATTTTCTATATATTTTTACACACACACACACACATATATATATATATATATATATATATATACACAAAGAAATAATCACGCATAGAACCAATCAGCAATATTAATGCTATTATTGGCGATATCCATCGCTAGTAGTGTATAATGTATGCATTAAAATAGTGTTAATCCATAGAATGATGTGATCCTCATTTATAAAACTGTTGTCTGTTTCCAGTTTATATTTTTTTAAAATGCAAGTACTTTCGAATAATCCTTTATTCATCGTCAGGCATATCTTTTCCTTATAAAATCAAAAACTTGGAGACGAAATAATTGTTTGTAGACCGAAAGATGTTTCTTTTTGAATATGTGCTATTATTGACGGTTGTGTACAATCTCGGAACGTGCAAAGACGCAACGCTAAGTTTTTCAAAATTTTAAGTGAGAATTTTATTTGAACTTTTCTTGTGATATGGTAAATCCACATATTCTATTTTTACAATTGTTTTCAGTTAATATGTCATGAACTAAGTATATATAGTTCAATTAATATAGTGTTATGTCTTAGTAGTAGTTTTTTTTTTATATATATATGCTTTTCAAGGGATTTTTAATGTGACACTTTTTCTTCCAATTATAAACAATATTTTTAGTGAGTATACGTGTTTGAGTTTCCATTCCTCCTATTTTATTTTCTCAGTCAAAGAAATTAATAAAAACCGACAAAGATTGAGAAGTCATAATAGGAATTATGTCTGACAGGAATTAAATCCTTATCGTTTTTTATAGGGGAATCCCCTTCTCTTGGATAAGTCGTGCAGCAAGCAGTTTCACATCGGAGACCAAGCTGACAAAGTAAACTTTGAATTACCTATTAAAATAATACACACCTCTCTCCTGCACTTCTACGAATCTATAGCGATTTAATAAGCGTAGTTAACATGCAGTACAAGGCCGAATGTAAGGATCTACTTCATTGTAATTGGTCTAGCAAGATATGCTTTCTAACCATTACGATGGTGGGCTGAAAACTTCATAAGCTGAATAGAGATCTGAACTCTTACTTGCATTAATTTCAAATCTACTTATTAAGAACTGCATTGTGTCGTTCCAGTTAAAGCAATACGACTTCAAAGTAACTAGTAGCGACCTCTGTAGAAAATGGACAATACTTGACATCATAGGGTTATCAGTTACCTACAAAAAAGGTTTAGCCCCCAAGGACATTCATGCTTACATGGTTACTACATTAGAGGGATGACGCTCCAGTTTTATCAACAGTGTAAAAGCGGGCAGATGAATTTAAGATGGAAAGAGAGAATCTTGAAGGTAACCCAAAGTCTGGAGGTCCTGCAATTGTCACCGCCGTGGAACGCATTGATCGTGTTCACCACATGGTGATTGATGATGGAGATCAACTATAAATCAAACAGCCTATGCCAGGGGTTTTCAAATATTTTGACTTGCGGACCCCTTTTTATTTCAGGCTTTACCTTAGGGACCCCCTTATAAATGCTTATGAAATTTATACATAAATATTTGCTGAATATAACATAATTTTGCATTAATGCAATAAAAGCTGGTTTAAAGCTTACTTTAGACACAAGTGTTCAAATAAATTAATGCTGAATGTTGCTGCAAAATGTAACAATATTAAATTTTGTTATATTAAAATATTAATTTTACATGTAAATGAAAACAGTAATAGTATTTAACAAATAGTTTTATTGACAATTACTCACAGAGGATTTTTTAATACACACTTAGTGAGAAAGATGTGCTTGCTTGGCTTTGCACAAACTGTCAATTTTTGGCGATATTACTGATAAACATACACGTAAGTCACTTTCTGGAGCAAGTCTGGATCTGTATTTGTTTTTCAGATTGATTAGTGCCGAGAATCTTGTTTCGCATAAATATCTTGTTGCAAACGGTAACAAAATCTTAGCTGCCTTTCGAGGTAACAATGGATACTCGTAGGCTATAGTGAGCCAGAATTTCAAAAGTTGTTGCTGCATAAAACTGATTTTTAAAGTTCTGTCGCATGAAATTTCCGCCAGTTCTTCTCGTTCATTATAAGTTGCACGTCACCCATAAAAAATCGTTGCTGTGCACAGACCCACTATCTTGTCCTTGCGGGCCCCCTGTGGTCCGCGGGCCACAGTTTGAAAACCCCTGGCCTATGCTATTAGTATGCCGAGGGTGATTTGAGGATATTCTTCACAATGAACATTAAATGACAAAGGTTTCTGCTCAATGGGTGCCACTTTTGACCTTGGTAATAAAAGCACCAAACTGATCACATCCCGGGAAAATCTAACATTGTTTGAGCCATATCCAGCTGTTTTCCTTGAAGGTTTCCTAGCCCGTCGTAATGATTAGCAAACATGTCTCGCTAGACCAATTACAACGAAATAGATTCTTACATTCGGACTTATACTGCATGTTAACTACGCTGGGTTCTTCACTTTGATCCAGAGAAAATTCATGCTGTGTAAACACCCCCCTCCTCAAGGTCAATGAAGGTCAAGATCGTTTCATCTGCAGGTTGTGGCCTCTGATTTTGGGGATGCAAAAAGTATTGTGTTTATTGACTATCTTCAAAATGACACAAAAATTCACACCATCAATGAAGAGTGCTGTGCTAATTGCTGAGGCAGTTACGAAATGTTATCAACATCTAACGCCCAGGAAACCTGATGAAAAATGTCTTGTTTCACAAGGACTCTGCCCCAGAACACAATTCCTTGGTTTCAATGGCTGCTGTGCGTGTGTAACTTCAGATTGCTTGATCACCCTCCATATTTTTCTGACTTGTCTCCCAATATGAACAAAACAACACTTGACTGGGAATATGTATTTTAGTGATGATGACGACATAACTGCTGTTGAGTTTTTTTTT